GCCACCCCTACTCTTAATCCCTAAATTGACACCAGATTAGGTGACTACCACATGCATCAAAATACTTTGGTCTTCTTTATTCACTCTCCAGCTTTCCCATGCCTAGGAGGTGATTGGGGAAAAAGCAAAACAAAAACCACCCCATGGCTCAGGTCAGGTGCACTTCAGTCCTCAAAGTGACATCCTTGCTGTTTAACACTTTAAAGAGGTGTTTTGCAGCAAATGAACCGTTGGACTTCCTCACTAGTGCTCCATGAGTATTGAGAGTGTGTAGATCCAAGTAAAGTGAAACCCTTGCACGATTTTGTCATTTTTATTTATCATAATATTGCTTATTGGTCTAAGTTGTAAGGATTTTCATTTGTGTCATATTTTAGTGTAAGCCATACATGTGCATACATATAACCTTAGATCTTTACAAGTGTTTCAAGACAGGAGCTATCAATAGATTCATTGTGCTAACGTTGAGGGTCCTGTGTGATTCTCCCGGTTAATGTATTCAATCTTAAATGAAAAGCGCCTTGGAAGAAAGGCTTGGTGATATATACATATGTATAACTATAACTATATATATAGTTATTGAAACTCTGTGAAGCACAGTTCTACACTGACCCATGTGGAATCTGTTAAAATGGACTGAAAAGCAGTGGTCTGGTGTGTTCCTGTTTGTACTAGCAATCAGTTAACCCTCGGATTAAATAACTTTCCAAGTCAATGTTAAATAGTACACTACCACTCCTCCTAAGCAGTGGTAAGCCTCCTGGCAGTGATCCGGCCCTGCGTAGTGCAATACACTTAATATGGCAGCACAACGAGCTGGCTTTGTGGAACCCCGATGGTGGGAGAAAGAGGAGACTCTGTGTTGTTGCTATTGTTGTTAGATGTCACGTGACCCATATGGACCTCATGCTCGACAGAACAAAACACCACCTCACCCTGTGCCACCCTCACAATTGTTCCTAAGCTTGCGCCCATTGTGGCAGCCACTGTGTCCATCCATCTCCTTGAGAGCCTTCCTCTTTCTCGCTGCCCCTCCACTTTACCAAGTCTGATGTCCTTCTCCAGAGACTGGCCCGTCCTGACAACATGGCCAAAGCATGTAAGACAAAGTCTCACCACCTTTGCCTCCAAGGAGCCCTCTGACCTTACTTCGTCTGAGACAGATGAGTTTGTCCTTTGAGGAGTCCATGGCTCTTTCAATGTCCTACCCCGGGCGTTCTGTTCCCATAAAAAGTTAACAGCCTTGGAAATGGACAGAGGCACTTCGACTCAGAGCTATCGTGCCACTCTGAGTCGGAATCGATTCCATGGCAGTGCGTGCGGAGAGTATTTTGAGCTGGCTTTGCATACTTATCATATCGAAGATTCAGATCATCTCTTGGGTTTATGCGCCACCTCCAGAGTCCAATTCCGACTCGGTTTCTGGGGCTGTCAGTCTTTGCCAGAGCAGATAGCTTCATCTTTGTCCTTGTAAGAGGGCTGGTAGGTTTGACCTGCGACCCTGTGATTAGCAGTCTAATTGAGCTGATGACAGCAGCGCCACCAGGGATCCTTAGCGTTTAGGTGCTAGAGTGAAACCTGTGAGAGCTGGAACTCAGCCGTCCTGCCTGGGTTTTCCTGGTCTTGCAAGTTTTCCGCCACTGGCAGGCTGCCTTCTTACCGCTTTTCTGTCATTCATTTTAGTGGGAAATACAGGAGTTTTCCTTCTGAATGCGTTCCTTTGCATTCCATAGCTGCTATTCTTCAGCATCACATGAAAGTCGAATCTTGACATTTGGTGTTGAGGAAAAACATCCTTTCATTCACAAGCATGCATGGCACTGTTCTAGGCCCAGGGCAAGGGGAGGAAACCAAGTCTTTTGCTTCCTAGAGGAGAGATGACAGTGAACATGAGCAGGTGGTAAGGGGCGCTATAAAAACATGAATGGTACAGAGGTCAGGGCAGGCATCTCCTTCCGCTGATGTGTGATCCAAGATCTGAAGGAATGAAAACAGCTTCCCACGCTAACGCAGGCAGTGTGGGCAGGCAGGATTTCATAACTTCAGCAAAATAAAGTTAAAATTTGGACTTGGGTAAGGTGTGTGTGTGTGTGTGTTGAGGTATGTGGGGGAGGGGAACTGCCCTCTAATTCTAAACATCCTTGGCCTCTGCTCACTAGCTGCTACTTATGAGATGCTAGTAGTCCTACCCTTGACATGATCAAAATGTCTCCAAACTTGACCAGCTGATCCCTGGAGGAAAAAGACCCCCAGTTGAGCAGCGCTACTAAGGAGAGGAAGAACAAAGAGCTAGGTGCTGCTGGAGTGTAGCTGTCAGAGGCGAAAAGGTGATCAGTGGGGTCAAAAGAGAGGCCATACACAAAGACGACCCCACTGGTCTTTACACACTGCAGTGTGGCTGCAGGCTCTGGGAAGCTGGAGTGACTGACATATTCCTTCATAAGTTTTTCCAATGTTACTCTGGGCAGCATTTACCCAAAAGCAGAGTTCAGAGGGTTAGGAAACACGAAACACAGGGCCGCGTAGGAGTAATCGATGGCACATCGAGTGGATTGCAACGGATGAGCTAAAACAGAATGTGTATGATTATATGATGTACAAACTGATTATCTGCTCTGTAATCCTTCAACTAATTCACAAGAGCAAGTTTAAAGAAAAGAGAAGAAGAGAAAACTTGCTTCCATTGCTGTGTAGAAAGAAGAATGTTAAAGTCAAAAGTGGAAGGGAGATCACTCACGCAGCTGATACACCAATCGGCAAGAGATGGTGGACCAGGCTTGGTGGGAGAAGAGGAGGTGGTGAGAAATGATTGTATTCTGGATATGTGTTGAAGGAAGTTAAAGAACTTATGAGTTGTGGAAGAGGAAGAGCAGGAGTAAAGGTTATTATTGTTGGCTGAAAATTAAGCCATGAGGGTGAGTTCATTTCCAGATCTGAAGGTGGACTAAATTCCACAAGTGGAAATTCCACTAGTGTCTATCCAAACAGTAAGTCTGCTATTTTTTTTAAAATGATTTCGCATTTTGCTTCATATTTTTCTCCCACTATGTTCAGGGCCTTCTGCTGTGATCTCTTTCAGAGTCGTTGGTAGCAGTAGCTGGGCACCATCTAGTTCTTCTCGTCTCTGGGTCATGGAGACTGATGTGTGTGGCTCATTAGTCCATTGGATTTATTATAACCATGTGCCCTTGATCTCCATCATTTTTCTCTACTCTGGATAGTTGGTCTTGGAAACTCCCATTGGGCAGTTCAACCCTGTCGTATCTGGTTGCTACGAGTCGGAATTGACCAGATGGCAAGGTCAGCAGTTCAAAACAAGCAGCCACTCTTCAGGCAAAAGATGAGGCTTTCTTCTCCTGTAAAGAGCAGCTGTCTCAGAAACCTACAGAGGTTGTTCTATCCTGCTCTGTGGGGTTGCTATGAGTTAGAATCAACTCATTGCCAGTGAGTTTGAGGTTTCAACCCCTTAAGAGCCTGGCTTTCAATGTGTTAAGCTGGAAATGTGAATCAGTCATCCATGCAGGGGAGTCCTATAGGCAGTTGGGATAAGGGTTCAGGTTCAGAAATTTTAAAAGGAGGTGTTATCACCAACAAATATCAAGTTTGTGGAAACCATTTGTGCTCAACAGCATAGAGATTGGTGGTGTGAACCCACACAGCATGACTTCAAAGAAAAAGGAGACTTGCTTTTGTCAGGACTATTGTTATTACTTATGCAAGGAAATTTGGAAGACAGCCACTTGGCGAACTGACTGGAAGAGATCCATCTTTGTACTCATTCCAAAGAAAGGTGACCCAACAGAATGTGCATGTTATAGAACAATATCAGTAATATCATCTACGAGTAAAATTTTGCTGAAGATCATCCTACAACCGTTGCAGCAATCTATACATAGACTGAGAGCCGCCAGAGTTTCAGGCCATATTCAGAGGAGGACGTGGAACAAAGGATTTCAATGATGATGTCAGCTGGATCATGGCTGAAAGCAAAGAATGCCAGCAAGATATTTACTTGTGTTTATTGACTCTGTCAAGGCATTCGACCATGTGAATCATAACTATGGATAGCTTTGAGAAGACTGGGAATTCCAGAACACTGAATTGTGCTCATGCTGAACGTGGATCAAGAAGCAGGTGTGCAAACAAAACAGGGCACACCGCAGGGTTTAAAATCAGGAAAGGTGCATGTCAGGGCTGTATTCTCTCACCATACTTATGCCATCTGTAAACTGAGCAAATCATCAGAGAAGCTGGACTATATGAAGAAAAATGAGGTATCAGGATTGGAGGAAGGCTTGTTAACCACCTTCAATATACAGAAAACACACCCTTTGGGTTAGTCTTAGTAGACTAGAGAAACAAATTCATAGACACTCATTTGTGTATAAGAAAGAGTTTTATATACAAGAGCAATTAAATATTGAGAAACCATCTCAGCCCAGTCCAGATCAAGTCCAGAAGTCCGAGATTAGCCCATATGTCCGATACCAATCTATACATTACTCTTCAGACTCATGAAACACATGCAATGACACTGAATGCAGGAAGATCACAGGCCAGTGGGTAGAAGGGCTTGTGGATCCAGTGGCGGTAGAGGCATCTCAGCACTGGCAGGGGACTCCACGTGGCTCCTTCAGCTCTAGAGCTCCAGCATAGCGCCATGTCTCTTGTCAGCTGCAATGTCTCCAAAGGAGTGAGTCTGTGTCTCTCCTCCAGCGAGTTATTTATCTCCGTAGAGCCTCCAAATGAGATCATCAAGCTGAGACTTTATTGCCAGGCTAAACTCCACCCCTTCGCTCTTAAGTCTTCAATTGACAACAGATTATGTAACTACCATACCTTTGCTTGATGAAAGTGAGGTGGATTGACCTTTTGCTTATAAGTGCTTAAACATTGTGTCACCAGGGTTACTTTCCACTGACTCTCATTTAAGAAAAAAAAAATTTTTAATCTCTGCTGTCCAGTTGATTCTGTCTTATAAAACTCTGTAAGAGCTCTGAGACTGGATCTTGATGAAGGCAGGCAGTCCCAGCTCTTCCATGGAGTAGCTGGGGGACTTGAAGAGCCAACTTTGCAATTAGCTGCCCAGTACCTCATCCACAGCGCCACCAGGGCTCTTCTCTGCTCACTCGGCCTCCTGCATTTGCTTGAGAACTATGGTGGTGTGTGGGAGTCTGCACGTCCCTCAGCCCATGGCCTGCGCCGTCCGCTGTCTTTAAGCCTCCCATTCCCGGATGTTCCCTGGCCTATTGTCCTGCCTGAGTTTGGCCTTTGTGATGATTGGTGCTCGGTGGCATGCAGCCACCATGCTCATTGGACACCTCCGCCAGGCATCCAAGTGCACCTCCTTTGCATGTGGACCATCCAAGTGCACATCATTTACATGCAGACCTGTTTGAGGACTGATGCCTGCCATTTCTTCCATATTGTAGCTGCATGATTATTGGATACTACCCGTTACACTTTATTAGCATATGATGTAATGTTACCCACCCACCATTGGGTATTCATTACACTTTGTTAGCATATGATGTAATGTTACCTGCCCACCATTGGGTATTTAAGCCTCTGCCTTCTGCTCAATAAAACGAGGCTTGATCAGACTCTTGTCTTGCCTCCATTTCTCGCGTCTCTTGCTCCTCTTCGTTCCCAGTCCCTTTTTCCCCCGTATCCACGTTGTTTGATGACCTGCAGGATGGGTCAGTGGTGACGATGAGAAGTGGCCCCTTGCTCTTTATCTGTAGATCTTCCAGCATTCAGAGCAAACACTTGCATATGCAAGGGTTTACAAGTGCAAAATATGGGAAAAACACAAGAAATGCCTCTGGACTCTTGACAATGAGTTCTGAGTACCTACTTCTAGCTTAACTGCCAATGTTAGGGACCCACGGCCAGGCTCCCTAAAGTCTGTCAGCTCCTAAAGAGACGCTTTAATTGTGGACAGGGCCTGGGGCGAACAGGGGGTGGCAGCCACTTGTGGTGCACAAAGAAAGGACAGGACTGTCATATGCAGGAAGGGCTGGCAGACACGGTGTGTGTGTGTGTGTGTGTGTGTGTCTTTACAGAGTGAGGACCAAACCCAGCTAGCACTAGGCGTTGTTCAGAAGGTGTGTGACCCCTTTGTCTCTCCCATCCCCTGACAGTAAGTCCTCTGCTGGTCTGTCTCCAGGGTCTCACTCTCTCCGCTATCTCTTCATGGGCTCCTCGGAACCGGACCTTGGCCTGCCCCTGTTTGAGGCCTTGGGCTATGTGGATGACAGGCTGTTTGTGTCCTACGATCATGAGAGTCACCATGCCCAGCCCCGAGCCCCGTGGCTCTGGAACGGTACTTCAGGTCAGCTGTGGTTGCAGCTGAGCCAGAGTCTAAAAGGATGGGACCACATGTTCACGATTGATTTCTGGAACATCATGGACAACCACAAACACCACAGTGAGGGTATGTGGGGAGGGGGCCTTGCTTTCCTGGGTGGAGCACCTCCTCCCCACAGAGAGCCTCCTTCCACCTCACAGAGGCATCTGAGAGCTAGGCCATGAAGGCCCGGTTGGGGAGGGAGGATGAGGGAAGACCAGAAAACAGGTCCCCACTGGTCCCTGGGGGTGGTGGAGACAGGGGTCTACATACACCTTTGGTTTCGGTAATGAGGCAGAGGGATGTTGTCAGAGTCCCACACCCTGCAGGTGATTCTGGGCTGTGAGGTTCAGGAAGATAACACCACCAGAGGTTTCTGGAAATACGGGTACGATGGGCAGGACCACCTGGAATTCTGCCTGGAGACACTGGATTGGGCAGCAGCCGAGCCCATGGCCCAGGCCACCAAGTTGGAATGGGAAGTGACCAAGATTCGGGCCAAACAGAACAAGGCCTACTTGGAGAGGACCTGCCCAGAGCAGCTGCAGCAGTTACTGGAACTGGGGAGAGAAGTGGTGGACCAACAAGGTAAGATGGGGGGACCCTCCTGCCCCCACTGGAGGGACTGAGAAGAATGAGATGCAGGGACCAGGGTTCCCAGCTGGAGTTTTTCAGAGTTGGCCAAGCGCATTGGTTGTGTGACTTCTCCCAACTTGTAAGCAGGGGTTTTCTCAGCACTAAAGGCTCCACGGCACAACTGTGATATATGACATAGCTGTGAATCAAGGGTTTTTTCTCCCTTCCTGTGTGTGTATAAAGAAGAATTACCCATGCCTCTCTCTTGATAGAAAATATCCCATGTATGTTTATTCTTTTTAGGTATTCAGATAACTTAATATATTGATGATCAAGGCAAGGAATTACCAAAAGGGATCCCGCATCAGAATTGCAGAGCCTTTTGGAGGTCAAAGGTGGCTTTCATAGAGCATGGCGGTTGTCCCTGAGGCCAGACGATCATACAAGTCCCTTCCTCTAAGAACCTTTAGTGAGCCAGAAGAAGCTGCCAATGATCCATAGTGAATCCATTTTAACTGTACTGGTGTCTAGTGGCTAGGATTCAGCACCCTTCTATTCAATCCATGTTGATCCCCATAAGTGGCACTTTGGTTCAACTTAGTCTGTTAACAGATAGCAGAAGGCCTGGGCAATGGGGGCATACTGGGCACAACAACAGGCCTGATATGGCCATGACTATTTTGCATGTAATGCTACATAGGAGTCCAGTGTTAGAAATGTTAGGGCACACAAGGGTGGCTCTCCTTCAGCTTGTTTTTCTACAGAAAGTAATTCCTTCCCCCAACGCATGAAAATGTGGAAGTGAAAGTTTCGGTCTTCCTAAGAAATAAAGCACAACAAATCTGTCATCAGGATGATTCTGGCTCCTAGCAACTCTTCATAGGGTTTCGGAGACTGTAAACCTTTATAAGAACTGACAGCCTCATCTTTCTCCCCGTGAGTGGTTGGTGGGCTTGAACTGCTAACTGAGATGCCTACCCCACAGCTCCGCAACAGTAAAGCGATTCCCTCTTGTCATCTTTCTTCTTTTCTGCCCAGCGCCTCCTGTGGTGAGGGTGACTCGTCACCTGACCTCTGAAGCAACCACGCTACGGTGTCAGGCTCGAAACTTTTTGCCTGGGAACATCACCATGAGATGGCTAAAGGACAGGAAGCTGCTGGGTGCTAAAGATGTGGAGCCCCTGGATATACTGCCCAATGGGGATGGGACCTACCAGGGATGGATGGCTGTGGTGGTGTCTCCTGGGGAAGAACAGAGATACACCTGCCAGGTGGAGCACCTCGGCCTGGACCAGCCCCTCACCGCCACCTGGGGTATGAATGACAACCAGAGGCTGAGCTATTGTCATGGCTAGTACAAGGCTGGTGGGCATGGGGAGGGGACGTGGGTCGGGAGTGGCCGTCATGGGCTTACGCTTACCTTTGCTATTTTAGATCCCTCACATTCGGGCACCCTAGTCATCGGAATCGTCAGTGCGATTGCTATCTGTGTCACCATCTTGACTGGCATTTTGTTCCTAATCGTCAAGAAGAGGCAAGCTTCCAGTAAGTAGAAAGAAGAAGTGGTCTATTAATACCACTTCCTTTTGTTGTCAGATTCATAGTGAGTGCACGGGGTGACAGCAGGCCTCGTGTCTTTCTCCTCGTGAGTGATCAGTGGGGTTCGAACTACCAACCTCTTGGTTATCAGCTTAGTAAGCAATCCAGTCCTTAAGCATTGCACCGCCTGGACGCCCTCTGCCATTTGAGTCTAACACAAGCAAAGGCAAAGCTAGGAATAAACTCACTGCCACCGAGTTGATTTGGACTGATGGCAATAGGGCAGGGTAGAAATGCCACTGAGTTTCCGAGACGGTAGCTCTTCATGGAAGTAGACAGTCTGTCTTTCGCCCAAGGAGCAGCTGGTGGTTGCAAATTCTCCTTCCAGAAAAAGGCAAGGGAGGACAGAGGGGCGTTGGCATCCATGGGAAGAATTCTCTCTCTCCCTTTTTATGTGGTTGCCATAGCCCTTTTCTACAAGCAATTACGGGTTTTCCCCAGAGTTAAAACTTTAATTCAACAAACATCTTTGGAGCATCTGCTATTTGCAAGGCACTATTTAAGGTAGTCGAGGAGGCTGGTGGTGATCTTAAAGGGATTAAAGTTTGGTGAAGAGGAGGCAGTCAGACGATTTTGGAAACCTTATGAAGTAGTGGGCTTCGGTGTGGGTTTTTGTTGACACAGTGGCGGAAGCACTCAGCTGACAATTATTAGAATGATGTCTTAAACCCACCTGCTGTTGAGGAAAACAGACCTGGGGAATCTGCTCTCATAAAGATTAAGCAAGTTGACTGCCATCAAATAGGCTCCAACTCAGAGCAACCTTGTTTAGGGTTTCTGAGGCTGTAAATCTTTGGGGTTGGGGATGGTGGGGAGAGGACCAAAATACCAAACCCATAGCAACCAAGTCCTGACTCATAGTGACCCCTTTGTGGGTTTCTGAAACCGTAACTGCTAACGAGAGTAGAAAGCCCAGTCTTTCTCCCATAGAGCTACTGGTGGCTTCAAACTGCCCACCACGTGGATCTCAGCCCAATGTGTAACCCCTATGCCACCAGGGCTCCTTGGGGATAGACAAGCTCAGGAGCAGCTGGTGAGTTTGAACTGCTGACCTTGAAGTTAGCAGACCAACAGCACTACGAAGGCTCTTTCCCACACACACTAAAGACCAGAGCACCCTTTGAAGCAGTTCCACTCTGCCCCATGGCATTGCTATGAGTTGCCATTCACTCAAAGGCACGAAGAATACCATTTCAGGCAGTCGGAGTCGCTGGGTGGGACACACTGCTATGGAGTGCTCAGCTAACGTACTGAAAGATCAATGTTTCAGATCCACCCATTGAGACTTGGAAAGTGTGGGGGGAGGTCAGATGCGCAGGCATTCCCTCCCCTGAAGGCAATCAGTTGCCAGACTGCTGTCTCATCCCACCTAAAGGGGTTCCGTGCTCCCTGCCTCTGGGGATAATGGACAGGCTCCTGTAGGCGGAGTTTTCACCCTACTGATAATGTTCCTATGGAGACCCAGAGACCACCCCCTAGACCACCCCCTCATTGCTATGTAACATATAGTGCAACTCCTCCCTGTGACGTATGTCTCTACCTGTAATTAGTGGGCTGGCTTGCCCCCAAAAGGTATATAGGTGTGAGTCAGCAATATAGATCTCTCTCTCTGACTCTGAGCTCCTTGCTGCTCACTCCCTGGTTACTCCCCTCTCCCTTGTTCCCTTTCCCTCCTTCCCTTCCCCCTCTCTCCACGTGGACCACCAAGCTGGGCTGAGGTGAGCAATGGTACCATGTAACATGCCTGACTGTATTATTGTATTATCTCTCAAGCTCTTGATGACTTTAATATAATGCTTACATATCTCAACCGTACAATTGTGCATTACTGAACCCGTTGAGTAGTAATAGTAGTAGCAGCCGGTGGGGGCTGGCCCTTCACTCCCCCTACCCCCACCCCCCCAGCGCCAATTTTTTTTTAATTTAATACTACAGGAAAGGAAAGCCTGGTGATCTACTTCGTGAAGGTCACAGCCATCGGAAGCCCTATGCGCAGTTTTCTTCTGAAACACATAGGTTCACCATTAGTTGTAACTGACTCAAATTCAGATAGTGTGGGCATTTGGGTATTGAAGATAGTGCAGGGGCTTAATGTGAAAGAAAATGAGACTTTCTATTCCCGAAAAGAGTGGCAGTCTTAGAAACCCACTGGTGCAATTCTACCCTGACCTGTAGGGTTACTGTGGTTCGGAATGGACTGGAGAGCCGTGAGGAAGTAGTAGGGCCTTAAGTCGGAAAGAGCCCCTTTTCCTTCCTGTGGATTACAGGGAGGAGATTCTCTTCAGGTCAAAGGAGTCAAGGACACACAGCTCACAAGTACAGTTAGAGATATGAAGCAAATGTTGGGGGAGAGGGGGATCGCGGGAGTCAAAGGAAGGAATGCCCACCTTTGTCCAGGGATCCGTAAAGGTTCCAGCAGCTGGCTTCCGAGGTGGCTCTGGAAGGAGAAGTGGGACTTCTTTGGTTGTTGACTGAGGAGGAGGGCTCTACATGGCTGGCACTATCATGCAAGAAGCAGAGTGTGAAGGGGGTAAGACGTGATGACCTTGTCCTTGGCTTCACGCACCACGGAGTCCGCAAGCTCTTCGTCTCTGCCCTGAACATCGTTGGTGTGGGGAGACAAAAGGCAGCTAGACGTCGGCTCCTACAGGACTTTGGGGGCCAGTTGAGTCTTATGGACATTGAGGAACCACGAAGAGACACAAGAGCGCTGAAGAACGTTCATGGAACAATTGAGCTAGAAGGAAGTGAAAAACGTCCACCAACTTCTTGAAGCCCTGTCCTAGGAGCAAGTGGGGTCCCAGACTCCATGCTCTCATGCCTAAGTCGTTACAAAGTGAGGCGAGAGGCGAGGAGACCAGTTAGAAGAGATATTGCTGATCTCCAGTGGTCGCCTGTATCAAGAGCTGTCAGAGTTGAGAGGGGTGGACAAAGGAGAGGGAGGAACAGGGAGGAGACAAGGACGTTTCTAAGTTCTGTAACGCCACTTTCCGGGTCTCTTGTCTCCACAGGAAGAACGATGGGGGACTATGTTTTAGCTGAAGGTAAGTGAAGTGCGGCTGGCAGATACCCCTTGAGGGGAGAAGACAGAATGAAAGACTCAAAGAGGGGGCTGAATTGTGGAGTGCCCGGTGCTCCAGGGCAGAGGTTGACCTACTCTACTCTTGCTCTTCCCCGTTCACACTCTCCAAAATCTTTCCACATTTCGGTGCATGAGTACAAGCAGGGTAACAACCCCCAGCTGTCACCTCTCCCCCGAGCCAAGTATCCAATCTCAAGCTGCATCCACAACCTGCCTGTTTCCTCCATCACTTCAGGCCCCAAACACCTGTGACACCTCGCCCCCTACCTGTGGAAGAGGGAATCTTAGATTTTGAGAATTCACGACCTATTTTAAAAAAATAAAAATTGTTTAATTTTAATTTTTTTCTTTTAAAAAATTTGCTTCTGCCTCCCCTTTCCCTGCTCCTCCCTTTATCTTGATTTTTCCTGCTATAATCGTAGTCTCCTACAATTGTCTGTATGTGATTGACAAACTTCACCTCTATGTCACGAGGCATTTGACCGTTTCCCTCTTATTCTTTAGCCTTGTGTAGTACCCACCATGCGTCTAGCTGGAAACACATGGCACGGAGTCAAATCTGACTCATAGCAACCCCACAGGACAGAGTAGAACTGCCCTTGTGGATTTCAGAGACGAACACTTTCCTGGAGTAGAAAGCTTCATCTTTCTCTTGCACAGGGCTGGTGGTTTTGAACTACTGACCTTGTAAGCAGCATCGCAATGAGTAACCTGCTGCACTGTAAAACAAACAACCCAGTCAATACACTCGCTCTGATCAAGTCTATTCCAACTCATAATGACCCTATAGGATAGGGTACAACTGCCCACTTTGGATTTCTGAAAGGTTAGATCTTTTTAGGAGTAGATGGCCTCCTCTTCCTCCCTCTGAGCAGCTGCTAGGTACAAACTGATGACCTCGTGTTTAGCACTTCAGTGGGTAGCGCACTACACCACGGGGCTCCTCGCTATGCCACATACCAAAGTGTAGTTATCCATTCTTCCACTAGAGGGCATTTAGTGGAAGAATTAGCATCTTCTTGCTAAAACTTGGGTGTGCAAGTATCTGCTCTTGTTTTACTCCTTATTGCTTTAGGATATATACACAGCTGAGATTATTGCTAAGTTATGTGATATTTCTATTCCCATTTGTTTGAGAAAGGGCTATACCGGTTTCCTTGTGGTGGACGGTCCAGTCTCTACATCCTCTCCAGCATTTGCTATTTTATGTTTTGAAACTTTGCTATCAGTGCCAGTGTGGTGGTATCTCATCCTTGTTTTGATTTGCATTTTTCAAATGGCTCGTGATTTCGAGCAGTTTTTCGTATGTTTACCATCTGGGTGTCATTTTGGTGAGCTGTCTATTCATGTTTTCTGCCTGTTTCTAAAATTAGAGTCATCTTTTTTCTTGTTGCGCTATTGCAGTTTTCAATAAATTTGGAGATTAGTCTCTGGTCTGACAGACTATTGCCCCCAAATTTCCCCCCCAGAATGTGAGGTCCCTTTTAATACTTTGGTGAAGTCTTTTAATGCACACAAATGTTGTGTTTTCATGAGATTCCTGGGTCTCTACTTTGCCTTCTGTAGTGTTTACATTCTTCGTGTTTGATAGTGTGTTTATGCTATGTACTAGGGTCCTTAAGTTTGTCCCTCTTTTTTCAGTGATGACCTTCATAGTTCTAGGGCTTACATTTAGGTCTTTAATCCAGCTTAAGTTCATTTTTGGTATATAGAATGAGGTATGGCCCTATTTCATTCTTCTACAAATGAAAATCCAATTTCCCAGAACCATTTGTTAAAAAGGCTCTCTCTTCCCCGTGTAATGTATTTTGGCCCTTGGTCAAAAAAAATCTGTTGTCCGTAGGTGGTTGGACTAATTTCTGAGTTCTCTATTCTGTTCCATTTTGTTACCTACCTATCGCTGTAATAGTAGTACCAGCCTGTTTTGACTACCTTGGCTGTGTGGTAGGTTTTGAGGTCGGGAAGGGAGAAATCTACTTTGTTGTTCTTTTTCAGTAGTACTTTGCTAACCCTGAGGAGCCCTGGTGGTGCAATGGATACGTATTGAGTTGCTAGATGCAAGGTCAGTAGTTCAAAACTACCAGTAGCTCCTCGGGAGAAAAACAAGGACTTCTATTCCTGTAGAGAGCTAAAGTCTCGGAAACCCACTGAGGCAGCTCTACCCTGTCATACAGGGTTGCTACGAATCAGTTAACTTGAAGGCAGGGAGTTTGGTGTTTAGCCAGCTTAGTGCATAGCCCCCTACACCATCAGTGTTTCTAGGATGGCAGTGAATTTGGTTTGGGGACTTACTTTGGGGTTTTTTGGGTTTTTTTCCTTATCCGTGGTCTCTTTCCTTTCCATATAAAGTTGGTTCTTAGTTTTTCCATTTCTTTGAACAATGATGCTGGGATCTGGACTGGAATTTCATTATATTTATAGATTGCTTTGGGAAATATCAACGTCTGCATATTAAGTCTTTTTATCCATGAGCATGAAACATTCTTCCATTTATGTAGGTCACTCCTTTTTTTTTTCAGTTAATCATTTTACTGGGGGCTCGTACAACTCTTATCACAATCCATAGATACGTCCTTTGTGTCAAGCACATTTGTACATTTGTTGCCATCATCATTCTCAAAACCTTTGCTTTCTACTTGAGCCCTTGGTATCAGCTCCTCATTTTCCCCCCTCCCTCCCTACTCCCCCTCCCTCGTGAACCCTTGATAATTTATAAATTATTATTTTGTCATATCTTAACGCTGTATGACATCTCCC